ACTGCACTCCAGTCTGGGCGACAGAGTGAGACTCCAACTCAAAAAAAAAAAAAATTGACCTTAATCCAAAAAGCACAATTATACATTATCTTCCTTTTTCTACCTTTATTGTTCTATCTCTTATTTCTTATTAATGTTACCTCACTTTGTTCTTCATGCTATGTTTTTTTGTTTGTTTTTTGGAGTTGGAGTCTCACTCTATTGCCCAGGCTACAGTGCAGTGGCATGAGCACAGCTACCACAGCCTCAACCTTCCAGGCTCAGGTGATCCTTCTGCCTTAGCCTTCCAAGTAGCTGGAACTACAGGCAAGTGCCACCATGCTCAGTTGATTTTCTGATTTACTGTAGAGACAAGACCTCGCCAATTTGCCCAGGCTGGTCTTGAACCCCTGGGTTCAGGCAATCCTCTTGCCTTGGCCTCCCAAAGTGTTTCTTCATGTGATGCACTCCATTATCTCTGTCACACAATAGGTCTGTGGGATTTTTTTTTTGTTTTGTTTGGAGTCTCACTCCAACGCCCAGGCTGAAGTGCAGTGGCATGCTCATGGCCACCCCAGCATCAACCTGCTGGGCTCCGGCAATCCTTCAGCCTCAGCCTTCCAAGTAGCTGGAACTACAGGTGCACGCTACCACGCCCAGCTAATTTTTGATTTATTGTAGAGATGAGGTCTCACCTAGTTGCCCAGGCTGGTCTTGAACCCACAGGCTCAGGAATTCCACTCATCTCGGCCTCCCAAAGTGCTGGGATTACAGGCTGAGCCACCAAGCCCGGCCCTGGTAGTATTTAATGTGCCTGTGTTCCTGAGCCTTAGGGAAGCATACATGTGGCATGTGAATTAGTCAAATTTGTGTTTTGTTATTGTGATTAGATACTGATAAGAAAACTCAAATATTTTCAATGAATTGTACTTTCATAGTGCATGCATTTACATTCTTACTTTGCATATTCAATACCACTATTTCAAATAGCATTGAAAAAAACTTTATTTGTGCCATCTTTAATCATCAAAATAGGAATGGAAATGTTGGGAGATAAAATTATACCTCATTAGCTTTCTTCATAAATCTAAGGATTTGAAAGATTAAGTAGGCCACTGCCTTGCTACACTCTAGTATGGCCATTGCTCTTTGAGTATGGCTGTCACCATGCTTCCTGGCTTTGGCCCCCTCCCCCATCTTGGGGAGGTGAATCTTCTCTAATTTACTTTTAAATAAACTATATTTTTAATTAAAAAAAAAAAAAAAAGAGGCCAGGCTCGGTGGCTCAGCCTATAGTCCCAGCACTCTGGGAGGCTGAGGCAAGTGGTTTGCCTGAGCCCACAGGTTCGATATCAGCCCAGGCAACTTGGCAAGCCCTTGTTTCTACAGTTAAAAAAAAAAAAGAAATTAGCCAGGTGTGGTAACGTTCCAGCTACTTGGAAGACTGAGGCGGAAGGATCGTCGGAGCCCAGCAGGTCAATGCTGGGGTACCTGGGCAATGGAGTGAGACTCCAACTCAAAAAAAAAAAAAAAGGAAGAAAGATTAAGTAAAATAGAGTCGCATTTCCTAGAGTTCATTTCATATGATATATAATAAATAAAAATTTCACCAAAAACCAACCTTTAATTCTTTAGTCTCTTGTAATAGTGCTGATAGTCTTCCTTCTACATCTGTTTTAGTGGTTTTTACAGTCTCACTCTGTCCTTGTTCAGGAACTGATTTTGCCTGAAAGAAATGAAAGAAAAAGATGTTTCTTAAAAGTTACAATCTCAAACTCTCAAAATGGTGATTTAATTTCCCTGCTATTTTGAAATTTTACTTTCAGTAACAGAACATGTATTTATATGCTCTCCACTGACAATGGGCAGCATCAAATTTCATATGAGTACGAGGAAGGCTGGGCTAAGGTGCCTCAAGGACAGCCCAGAAAAGGAACTGAGACAGCTCTGATGTAACTGCAACACAGTGTTTGATAAGCAGACATGATTTTTCTAAGCCTTTCCCTCATTAACTTCCCTATAAGTCCATACAGTGAGTCCCCTGCATGCAAGTCTTCAAGTTGAGAACTTTCAAAGATGCAAATGTGCATTTTTTTCCAAGAGGGTAGCTAGAACTGAATCCAGCAAGGAACTAGAACCTGTGCCATCAACCTCAGGCATGAGTGACACTGCACTTGCCCTCCGTCTCCTGCTGCTGACAATCCTCCAGCTCTGCCACCTCCCCCCTGTTCGAGTCAGTAGCTCTTCTGGCCTGTTCACTTGATGCCAGCCCTGTATGCCAGCTGTTATACTGTACTACTGTACTTTTCAAGGTACTGTACTGTAAGAATAAAAATGTTTTGTGTGTGTGTGTGTTTTTTTATGTATTATTTGTGTGACAAGTATTATAAACCTATTACCGTACAGTACTGTATAGCCGATTGTGTTAGTTGGGTACCTAGGCTAACTTTTTTGGACTTACAGAGTGGACTTAAGTATGTGCTCTCAGAACAGAACTTATCCGTGTGTAAGGAAATTACTGTACTACCATCTAACACAGACAGGTAAATGAGCCAAATGCCATTAGTTAGTGAAATGCAAGTATTTTCTTATGTGCTTTGGGAGTTATTGTTAAATAATAGTTTTTCAGTCTGTCCCCATCTTTTTTGAGACACTGATGAAATAGAGACCTAACAATGTAGATGTGTCATGGGTACAGGCTGAAAGAGTTCTGAGGTGCATGTCAGACAAAGTCTAAATTACCTAGAAGAGAACCTTGGTAGAAATGTGGATGTTACAAAAGATTCTGGTGAGGGCTCAGAAAGAAAAGTAGGGAGCAACCCTTTTGGGTCCCCTCCCACTGTGGGAGCTTTTCTGTTCCCTCAATAAATCCCGCTTTCTAAAAAGTGAAAGAAAAGTGGGGAACTATAGGGAAAGCTTCTGTGATCATAGAGATACACGCATATCATCATGAACAGAATGCTGGTAGAATAGGAATGTTAAAGGTGCTTTTGGTGAGGTCTGACATGAAAATGAGGAATGTTACTGGAAATTGGAGGAAAGGCAGTCATTGTTATAAAGTTACAAAGGACTTGGCCAAATTGTGTTCTGGTGTATTGTGGAAAGTAGAACTTATAAGTAATGAACTTGGATATTTTGCAGAGGAGATTACTAAGCAAAGTGTTGGAGTGTAGCCTGTTTTTTCCTTGGTACTTGTAGTAAAATGTGAGAAGAGAAATAAACAGAAGAAGGAATTATTAAGCAAAAATGAATCAGAACTTAGAGATCTGGAAAATTCTCAGGCTATCTGTATTGCCAAAAATGAGAGTGTTCTGGAGGAAACATCAGGTTTTTGAAAATAATTACATACCAGCAGAAAAGCTGCAGCTTAGACTGAAAACGCACAGATAAGATGCAATACCAGCAAAATAAATTATTAGTAACTGAATAAACTAACATAGTGAGTATGATTATAGAAAGGCTGCCATCACGGAAAGAAGTATGTGTTACTAAAAACCGGCTAAGGAGTAATCTAAAGAGAAGGTGCTATCAGATACACTGGCTTCTTTTTCATGTAGCTGAGAAATAATTTATCAACCTTGTGTTTACCACCTTTCAGATGAACTTACAAGTGATTCTGCTTTCTGTAATAGCTCGTGCTTTTCTTTTTGTAGTTTGGCGATCTCTGCAGATTGTGAGTTTAACTGAGACTTTAATGCTGCTAGTTCCTAAGAGACAAAAATAGTTGAGTCGTAACATTAAAAGGCATCAGTTTCATCAAGGAAGTATATATTTACAGGAAGAAATTAAAAAAAAAAACTTTCCAATTCCCAGGTTTAAAATCTAACTCTAATAATTATTCTTGAACTTTAGGTTCAAGATGGAAAATTAAATACACTCATTTACTTCTGTTTCCTCCTGAGAGCTCATGCAAAAAAAATCATACAGAAGGGGGGTGGAGGAAGGAAGGAAGAAAGGAAAACAAAGAGAATAAGAGAAAAGAGGAAAAAATTGGGGATTTCAGAGGCAAATAGTGGTAAGTAACTCGCAAAACTGAGAAAGCTGAAAACTAGGTTGACCCTGAGAAAATCAAGCTAGTACCTGATTTAGAACGAATGTATTAACTACCAAAAGGTTTGGGAACTGTTACCATTATCTCTAAAAGTATAGGTTAAAACAAAGCTGCTGGGCTGCTTAAATGCCTGTTTAGGAAACCATCTGATCCCTGTCCCAATCCCATGAATCAAGCAACTTTTCTTCCTCTCTTGGCTGAAGACGGGGGTTTATAATTTGAAAGGGCAAAACAGGGCATCTTCAACTAGGGGCTGTCAAACACTGATGAAAGTAAACGAAAAATGGGGAATTAATTTAAAGTTGATGTTAATGTTAGAATTTCCAAACTTGTCGTCCTCTCCTCTCTCCCAAAAAAAGTACAGGAAAAAAAGGCAATTATATTGGTGGCTCTCCACCAGGAGTGATATTCACACCCCCCCCAACTCGCCCATGGACATTTGGTAATGTCTGGAGACACTGAATGAATGGTAGGATGCCGGTGTGTCAAAATCTCTTTTCTTTTGTTCTCTTTCAAATTTCTATCATATACGAATGTAGCTTTTTAAAAATTGTTTTGGTTTTTCAGTTAACAAAATGAGCTATATTTAGTTTTCTTTACACAGCATTTTACTATTTATTATAAAAGACAAAACTGTAATTAAAAATATATTTTAACAGTATAAAGTTCATAAAACAAAATAAAACTTTTAAAAAGTAAAAAACTAAAAAGCAGTTTTATTTTTATAAAAATATCTAATTAAATTTCACTGGAAAACATAATTAAATAGTAAAACTTTCACTTGGGATATGGTTATTTAAGGTTATATATAACCTTAATTCCCTTACATTTTAATGCAGTTCTAATATTAAATTTATTAGACTTAATAAAACCAAAACAGAATAGTAATCTTCCCTACACAAATAAAACATTATGAACAAATACTGGAGACCTGAAAATTCTCAATGATAAATGATTCTTTGAAAAAGGTTGGAATGGGCCAGGTGCAGTGGCTCACGCCTATAATCTTAGTACTTTGGGAATTTGAGGTGAGAGGATTGCCTGAGGCCACAGGTTCAACACCAGCCTGGGTAACTTGATGAGACGTCATTTCTACAATAAATAAAAAAATTAGCCAGGCGTGGTGGCACGTGCCTATAGTTCCAGCTACTTGGAAGGCTGAGGTGGAAGGATCGCTTGAGCCCAGCAGGTCGAGGCTGCAATGGCTGTGAGCATGCCACTGTACTCCAGCCTGGGTGACAGGGTGAGACTCCAACTCAAAGAAAAGAAAAGAAAAGAAAAAGATTGGATTTAGAACCTACTCTGAGGTACATGGATATTATCCCAATAAGACATCGTTGCCCAGTGTACAGTCAATTCCTCTCTCAGATAGGCTAGGGCCAGCAGACTAGTAGAGAGAGAGGAAGTCAGTTCTAGGCTGGTAAGGATGGTCACTTCTTCCTTTAGTATTACTTGGATCTTTTTTAAAAAGTATGCACGTCTTATATAATAAGAAAAGGAGGAGTGAAGGAAGAAGATGAAGAGAAGGAAGGAGAGAAGGAAAAAAAAAACCCCTAACCCAGAACATTTTTAGAAATGATATACTAATGAGCAATCTGAAACTTTTCTAGATTTGTTTCTAATTACTACATTAATTCATTGTACATATAAATAGTTCTTTTCTTTTCTGGTTCTTTTCTTGAACAATACATTTAATTTTCTCATTAGGTCTAGTTTAATAGGAATGTATAAGTATCACACATTAGAAAACTGTTTAATTTACTTTTCTAGATATTATAAATTACCATACCAGAAGATTTTTTTCTTTTAATTTGGCATCATCTAATTGAGATATACACATTTATCTCATTTTTCCCTTTTCCAATTTTAAAATTCAACATTTTTCTAGGCAAAATGGTTTATACGTCCAATACAATTAGTTGAGCAACTATAGTCAACAGTGTATGAAAATTAGGTCTAAGATTTTATATTTTCATATTTCCAACTTATAAACATATTTAAGTTTTTCTTTAGTTGTTAGTTTGCTGATAATCTACAAACAATGTGGTGAGATGCTGGGATCTGTTAAAAAGAACACCACTGAAATAAACACAAAATGAAAAGCATGCCATTACTGTATAATTAACAACAGTTTCTGAAATTCCAAATGGCTATCTTAACTCAAATTTTGTTTATATCTGGCAAAGTTCTAGATTAATGAAACTAAAGGAGTATTATTCTGCTATAATTAAAACATGATAAAATATAACTTGGGTCAAGTTGGACAATTACCTGTTTTAATTCTACAACTTGTTCTGAATCTCTAGCTGAAGACTGTTCATTCATGCCAGATGTTTGGGAAGATTTCTACAAATAGTATGGAAATAAACTATGAAACAGATTCAGTCAAAAGAGATAGAAAAAAACCAAACAGAACCATACATATATAAGCTATATCTTATATATGTTTACCAAAAAAATTCACATCAACATTTAAATTTTTATGTCCAAGATAAAATTTCAAGACAGCATATATTGTCTGTAACTTATTAAATCCAAGCATTTACCTAAGGTCATATGGAAAAAGAACATAAAAGCAAATGATTTCCATATATTAATTAAAAGAGTATTTCATTTAAGTCTCACAAAAATGAAACAGATATTACCAACACCATTTTATAGATTAGGAAACAAGTTTAAAGAGGTTAACTAAGTTGCTTAAATTCGATTAGCTAGGAAGCAATGAAGCTTAGACAATCTGACTCCAAAACTCATACTTTAAAGTCCTAACATACGCTATTTTAAGAAATCCAGAAAGAAAAACAAAACCCAAAAAACCAGGTCAAAGAATTACTCTTGACTTAATTTTTTAAAATTTACTTACCAAATTTTCAATCAAAGAGTCCTTTTCAGTCAGCTGGTTTTGTAAAAGTTCCTGATTACTTTTTAATTCTTCTATCTCATCTCGCAACCTACCAATTTCTTCTGGCTGAATGCCATTCATCTGAGCCCCATCACTGGAAGAACCTTGATGCTGATTGTCTTTTCCTATCAGACAAGTATAACATTTAAAAAGCCAGCAGGAAACTTAAATTTCTCATTTTTTGAACCAGAAGTTTCAAAATATATACTCTTCTTATTTCAGTTAGTTTGGTGGCACTTTTGCAATCATATGTCATTTTTACAAAATAATGTATTGATAGAAATATTGAACCGATGATATTTTCAGGATTTTTGGGAGGAAAAACAGCACAGTTTTGACTAAACTGCCTGGTCTGTAATCTATGATTAAGAACTACAGTGAGTTAGTTCCAATTCTGTCAATGAATATATGAGAAAATAAAATCTTTTGAAAAAACCTTCACAGGCACTATAGGATGATACTATTTACAAGCAGTTGAGTATCATTTGCCAGGCACAACTAGAATTTTATATGTAGTATTCAACTTAATTTTCAAATGATATTATCATCTCTATTTTGCAGAAGAGAAAACTTGTACCCACCACTTCCACCTGTGCACCCTGTACCCAGTAGGTGATTTATCGTACCCAAAAGGTGATTAAAGACTCTGAGGAGTTTCTAATGTGCAGCCAGGGTTGAGAATCAATGGGCCAGATAAACAGGTAGCAAGGAGCTTGAACTTCTATCTCTAAAGACCCAGTCTTGACTATCTTGCTATTTTGCTTTAAACTCTTGATTTACATGTTTGTCAACATGACTAAGGTTAGAGGAAGATTAGCCCACAAAAATAATGTTTCCTTTGTCTACATCTTGAGGGTAGAATGACCTGACTGCTCTAATAGCGGTGGCCAGCTACACTTACCTAGCTGTACTTTAAGAAGATTATACTGGTCCTTGTGCTGCTGAATCTGAGATACTTGCTGTGTGACTGCCGTCTGGAGCTGTTCGTTTTGACATTTTAACGTAGAAACCTGCTGCCTTAAATCTTCAAGTTGCAGATCCTGTGAAACAAAACATAATTGAAGTGCTATAAATTCATGCATTAAGAAGATGAACAAATGTAAAAATCACAAGTTATTTTAAGTCAGTATGTTAAAGTACACAACATTTCCAAAATCATTCATAATTAAGCAGTAACACATTATATATGCACCAAGGTCAATTAATATGCACCAGAACTATAAGATTTTAAGTAAGTCCCATTAATAAACACTATGGCACAGACTGCAATCTTACAGCAATTATAGGGGGAAACCAAATGAAAAAACTCCATTTTATGATCTATCCAACCATTTAGAAAATTTACACCAGCCAGGGACAGTGGTTCACGCCTGTCATCCCAACACTTTGGGAGATGGAGGTGAGGATTGCCTGAGCCTGGGAGTTCAAGACCAGCCTGGGCAACTTGTTGAGACCTCATCTCTACAACAAATCATAAAAAAAATTAGCTGGACGTGGTGGCGTGTGCCTATAGTTCCGGCTACTTGGAAAGACTAAGGTAGAGGGATCACCTGAGCCCAGCAGGTTGAGGCTGCAGTGGCCATGTGCATGCTACTGCACTCCAGCCTGGACAGCAGGGTGAGATTCCAACTCAAAATAAAAAAGAAATTTATACCAAACTATTTAAGAAACTTAGCATATATGTATATATATGCATCTATATTATTTTTAACATTAAAAGACAATCATATAGCAGAAAATTCAGTAGACTGAAAAAAGGTCATCCAACTCTTACCACTATACTATAACCACAGTTGGAATACAATATATTCCTTTATTTTCTTCCAATGATGCTTTTATAAATTTGTCATAATCAATTCACATATAATTTTGTAACTTTTTTTTCTTTTTGAGCTGGAGTCTCACTCTGTTGCCCAGACTGGAGTGCAGTGGCACGCTCCCGGCCACCGCAGTCTCAACCTGCTGGACTCTGGCGATCCTTCTGCCTCAGCCTTCCAAGTAGCTGGAATTACAGGTGCGTGCTACCACTCCCGGCTAATTTTTTTATTTATTGTGGAGATAAGGTCTCGCCAAGTTACCCAGGTGGGTCTCAAACCCGCGGGCTCAGGCAATCCACTCACCTCAGCCTCCCAAAGCGTGGGATTATAGGCTGAGCCACCGAGCCCGGCAAATTTTGTAACTTTTAATTTACTTACTGGTCTATCATAATTTTCCCATACTGCTACATGGGATTCACAACCACAATTTTTAAAAATGTTTACTTAATATCTGATCAAGTAGAAGCTAAATAATTTATATTAAGTTTTTCACACTGAGGTACTTTCCATTTTTCAAAAAGATAAATACCATTACAACAAATATTTTTAATTAAATGTAATTGTTTTTCTGAATTTTACAGAATTTCCTTAAGATGAATTCTCAAATGTCATTTAAGGTATATAAGCAAGTTGAGCATAGTGGCTCATGCCGGGAATCCCAGCACTTTGGTAGGCCAAGGCAAGGGAACAGCTTAAGCCCAGAAGTTTGAGACTAGCCTGGGCAGCATAGTGAGACCTTATCTCTACCAAAAAAATTTTAAAAATTAGCAGGGCGTGGTAGTACATGCCTGTAGTCCCAGTTACTGGGAAGGCTGAGGAGGAAGGATGGCCTGAGCCCAGAAGATTAAGGATCCAGTGAGTCGTGACAGATAGATAAATAAATAAAGTATATAAATATTTTATAGCTCTGGTTGCTTGCTGCCTAATAGAATTTTAAATGGTGAGAATATTTAAAGTAAACATTTCTAAAGAGTCACTATAGTAATTATGTCAAATCACTCAAATCAATGTATTTGTCAGCCCCAAATGTGAGCTCTACATCACATTCCAAATACTTATTTTTCCATTGTTCCAAAGATATTAAAATTTACCAGCTGGAAATGACTCCATATTTGAACTAAAATATAGACAAAAAACCCTTAATAACTATGGGTAAATTGATGATTCAAATTTTATCATTCAAAGATCATTGTAATTTATTAATCTGCTTCCAGTTTTGGAAGTCTGAGACTGAATGCTAAATATACCACAATATTTTCATTCTTTCCTAAAATTTCCATCTCAGTAATATAAATTGTGGGAAGAAAATAAGACACAAGCAGTTCTCAATTTTGATGGTTCTACCTAAGCCCTTTCTTGTCACCCTGCCACCAGCTGGGCACAATTAGCAGACAGGGGTGTACAGCAGTGCAGGGAAGGGGGTGGACATGTCCCATGTGGACTGCCACCACTGTATTTTTTTTTTTTTTTTTGAGTTGGAGTGTTACTCCGTCGCCCAGGCTGGAGTGCAGTAGCATGCTCACAGCCACCCCTGGGCTCAGGCGATCCCCTTCCGTCTCAGCCTTCCAAGTAGCCGGAACTACTGGCCCATGCTACCATGCCCAGATAATTTTTTGATTTGTTGTAGAGATGAGATCTTGCCAAGATGCCCAGGCTGTTCTTGAACCCGTGGGCTCAGGCAATCCTCTCACCTCAGCCTCCTAAAGTGCTGGGATTACAGGCTTAAGCTACCATGCCTGGCCTGCTATTTTTTTTTTTTTATGGTACTGTAAATTTTTTTTTCTTTTCTTTTTTTTTTTTTTTGCGTTGGAGTCTCACTCTGTCGCCTAGACTGGAGTGCAGTGGCCGCTCCCGGCCACCGCAGCCTCAACGTGCTGAGCTCCGGCGATCCCTCTACCTCAGCCTTGCAAGTAGCTGGAACTACAGATGTGCGCTACCACGCCCGGCTGGTATTGCAAATTTAACAACATCCAGCTGGGCACAGTGGCTCACTCCTGTCATTCCAGCACTTTGGAAGGCTGAGGCGAGAGGATTGTCTGAGTCCAGGGGTTTGAGACCAGCCTGGGCAACTTGGTGAGACCTCATCTCTACAGCAAATAAACAAGAAACAAACAAACAAACAAACAAACCCGGGTGTGGAGGTATGTGCCAGTAATTCTAGATACTTGGAAGGCTGAGGTGGAAGGATCGCCTAAGCCCAGCAGGTTGTAGCTGTGGTTGTGGTGGCTGTGAGTGTGCCACTGCGCTCCAGCCTGGATGACGGAGTGACTCCAACGCAAATAAAAGAAACAACAACAAAAAAACCCCAACATCCACAATCTCATTTTTCAGCACTTTCTAGAATTCCAATCAAGATAACAAATTACATGGAACACATTTTGAAGGAATATAGATGAAGGTTTAAGGTACACAACATAATGTAAGTAATGGAGGTTCATTGGTATCCTGACAAGAAAATGTCAACTGATGATTCTGAAAATGTAGTTTTACCTTAACTTATTATCTCCTCTAATAAATCTGCTCCTTCTCCTGTACTATCTAATTCCATATCATCTATTCAGGTGTCCAAGACGGAAACCTAGGGATGGATACTTGACCCCTTTTGTACCCTCAACCCGGCATCCAGGCATTACTGAGTCCTGACAGTTTGATCTGTAGTTTCTACATTTCTCTACACTACATAGTGTGAGCTTTAGAGTCCTACCAACACACATGCATTTGAATTCTCTTCACTAATTACTGAGTGATCCTGGAAGAGTTTAAATTCTCTAGTTTTCAGATTCAGCATTTATTCTAACTGAAGGTAATAATTACTCTGGTATAGGTGTTGTGAAAATTAAATGAGACAAAGTTTAAACTCACTTAATGAACACGCTGGACACAGTAAACAAAAAAGGGTAGCCATTACACTCATCGCTGCTAACACAGTGTCCTCATTCCCTCCCCTGGCCTGCCCTCCACAACAGCTTCCTCTGGGGCTCCCTCCCTCTAGCCTTGCCTCTCAAATTTCTCTTTACACAGCCACCAGACTGTTCTAGGTACATGCCAGTAACATTAAGCTTGAACTGAACATACTGTTATGTCACTCCCTGCCTCTCTTCCTGTCTTTCCTTCTGCCTAGCTTGCTTCTACTCATCCTTTTAGGACTCACTTCTCTGTTTTCTGCAAGTCCCCACTCCTAACCTAGCTAAATTAGGTGCCTCTCAGTGCTGCCACATACCTTTGATGTCTCTATCACCAGGCTTAAGATGTTACAATAATCCATTTATGAATCTGTCTCCTCATGGGGCTGATAAGGATATCTGCCTGATTCATGTTTTCATCCACGACAACCTACATAGTGCTTAGCACATATTATATTAAGCACTCTGTTGAAAATTCAGATGCTTTAAAAAATAATGAGTTTTACTTTCTGTATCCTCTTTCATCTGAAATGCCAGGAAAAAATAATCTTTCTTAAAGTAGAAAGTATTTCCTGGTAGTCCAAGACTGGATACAATTAATGAGTACTTACTTGCTCTCGAATCATATTTTTGTAGTGAGTCACAATACTGTCATGCTGTTCTAGTGTTTTCTTCACTTCTTCTTCTTTTTTATCTTCTTCACTGGATTTATAAATAGCCTTAGTTATAACACCTGTAAAAGAAAGCTTACTTAAAATTTGTTTTAAACGTTCGAAATACTATTGTATTATTAAGACTTAGTAAAAACATAAACCCTAATTCCATGACAGATAAGAAATCATCTTTCCAATCTTACTGAAAGTCTTTCAATGGGCTACAGTTCAAGAGCTAGGAAAGTAAAAATCAACTTTGAGGCTTACCATATAATCTGCATGTATCCAGAATATAAATATGTAATATCATCGTAATCACTTTCTAATGAATATCAATATAAACCCTCTTGTCTTACCTTCAAGTTCTTTTACCAGCTTTGTAAACTCATGATCAAATATCATGTATTCTGGGCTGGGAAAGTTTGGTTGGGGTTTCTGGGAAGCTCTGGAATATAACTCATGCTTGCTAATAAATCCTAGTTTCTCTATGAAATTCTCTTTGCCAATCCTCTTCTCTATTAGTTGTTTTAGTTTCTCTCTACAGAGAAAAGCATATTGAGATGCTTAAAAAAAATCAAAAACACAAAATCGTAACATAACATAAAAGTTGGGTTTACGTTTTGCTTTGGCAGAAAAAACATATCATCTCCTGATGCCACGAGAGTGTCTTCCCCTCACTTACTTCATGTAGCTCTCAAGTGAGTTGTCATTGAAGTAGATTGAAATACCCAACAAAAGGGCACATAAGCCTTGGACCAGCTGTTCTTCCTCCCCAAGATTTTCTGCAATTTGTCCCGTAAGCTGAAGTTTTTGTCAAGGAGGCAAATGATTCACAGCATCTAGAACACTTTATTTTACAATCTGCATTTGACATATATTTCAAATAAGAGTTCCTACAAGAAATTTTATATATGTATTCTGAACCAGCATTAAACAAACAACAGCATACACACATGCACACATCCCTCAAGCAAGCATCATTACAACCTTAACAGTTTAAAAAGCTGCAACACAGATAAGACATTGGAGACTTCAAACATTTTCAGCCTAGAGCTTTTTCTAATTGAGAAGAAAAATATAAAACATAAATACTTACATATATGTTACTAATACATAAAGGATACAAAGGGAACATTGGCTGAATTGTGAAGAAAGTGTGTTACTGCAATGGGACAGTTGCTCAGCCAGGTACAAAGTAACATTAATAATCCAACTCTTGTCTGTATTTTACTTCCCTGCAATAGATAAGTTGGCAGAAATTTGTTTTTCAAACTTAAAGTTACCCCAAGACCCCTTCCTATTTGCATAAAAAGAACTTTAATCTTACAAAAGATGTTCCAGAAATCCAGACTTTAAGAATTAAACACAACATCAATAAGGATACCTAATCTCAGACCAAGCGAAGTGGGGACGGACCAAAGGAAGGCCCAAATTCTACCTGTACAATGACCATTTGTATACCCAGTCCTGAATTGTACCCCACATCTCTAAAAATTAAAAGAAAAAAAAAAAAAGAATGAACAAGAGAGTATATTCTAGTGTAAAACACAAGTTATACTTTTCAAAAAGAACAGCATGCAGAAATTCATGATCACAAGCATATACTGGGTTATTTTAAATATTAGTGGTAGAAAAACCTGGTCTGCTGAGGAAAAACTTATGATGTAGAGACTTTTAAAAAATCTATTAATCCCAGGATAGTTTACAATAAACTTGTCAGGTAGATTCATGATATTTCAAACAGAATCTTAAAAATAATTCCTCACAAAAAGATAAATTCTACCTCCAAAAAAAAAAAAAAAAAAAAAATCAAGAAAAATCCAAAGAAATAATCTCCTAAATCATTTAGCCAAATTTCATGAGATAATATATTCTCTAATAAGAAAATAAATAAAACATGCTACAAACTCAGAGACAACATACCAGATAATAAGAAATCACAAACATAATCAGGAGGAAAAACAATTTAAGTGAGGTAAGTGCCCCAAATCACTATACTGCTGCCAAGTACAGTTAAACAATAGTGAAAATTAGCCTGTTCAATAAGCGAGTGCTCTAAAAAATTTTAAGACACATTTTCATCTTTTATGTAGAATATTCTTAGTTTATAATATTGACATTACCCATATTTATATTACTATAACCTCTTTTTGTTTTTAAGAAAAACTTTTTGAGATAAAATAATAACAGTAATTTCTGGAATTACTTTTGATAAAATATTCAAAAAATTCAAAGACCTAGACAACGAATGGGTTCATAGTAACCATCACTGTGTTTTAAAACTCCCCACCACCAGACTGCTCTAATCTCAGAAGCCTCCATGTCAATTCCTGGCTTTTCTATAGTCTACTTTCAGGTATTTTAAACATTGAATTATTGGCCAAGTAAGCAATGATATAAATGTAGTTTTTACATAATGCATCATTTTTACTTTTCCTTGACCTCTATGTCATTATTGTATCTGCTATTTCATGTTACTCACATAAACTGGAAAGTTAAAAAACTGGCCGGGCTCGGTGCCTCAGCCTGTAATCCTGCGCCTTGGGAGGCCGAGGTGAGTGAATTGCCTGAGCCCGTGGGTTCGAGACCCGCCTGGGCAACTTGGCGAGACCTCATCTCTACAATAAATCAAAAAATTAGCTGGGCGTGGTAGCGTGCACCTGTAGTTCCAGCTACTTGGAAGGCTGAGGCGGAAGGATCGCCGGAGCCCAGCTCGTCGAGGCTGCGGTGGCCGGGAGCAGCCACTGCACTCCAGTCTGGGCGACAGAGTGAGACTCCAACTCAAAAAAAACAATACAGTTATTCTCAACTGACTATGTATCATAGAGAACTATATCTAGTCAAGTTATAAATGCAAATGTTTTGTTTATCTACCTGGTTATATATAAGAAGTCTGTTATTACTCAGAATGATCATTTGCAGGTACCCACATTATATATATAAGAGCATCCTAACTGACTAATGTCTGAGTAAACAAAATCAGATTCAGATTTAAATATGAATTTTCTAGAAGTATGCTCTTTGGGGTGTAATTGAAGAATAAGAAGAGCAAAGTCAAATATAACCAGTTAGAAGACAGAATGGAACACTCCATTTACTGTAATGACAAAAAAAGATAAAACCATTTGGAGATGAACCTAGTCAAACAGTATGAAACCAAAAAAACTTCAAAGCACTCCTAAAGAGCACAAAAGTAGACATAAGCCAATAAAAATCATGGAAGTCTCAACACTATGATGCTCGTTCTCAGTTAATTTATAAAGTTAATGTGATCTGAATAAAAATATGAAAAGGTTTTTTTTTTCTTCTGGAACTAAATAACCTGATTCTGAAAATCATATGAAAAAAGTGAGAACAACTAGGAATACTGTGGAAAAAACTGAAAACCACCAAGAGAGGAGATACTAGCTCATGAACAGGCAGGAATCAAGAGACAAAAAAGAAAACCCAGAAATGGACACACATACAAATGGGAATTTAGTACAGAAAAAAGGCAGCATATAACCATCAGTGGGTTACAGATGGACTTTAAGAAGGATGGCACAACCAGACAGCCACTTAGAACAAGATCTGTGGACTCATATTTCATATAGTTCATTGAGAAAAATGAAACACAGAGTTTGATGCAAAAAAAGAAACCAGAAAGTGTGAGATAAAATATGAATAAACTCCTTAAAATCTTGAAGTGGAAAAGTCTTTGTACATATGATTTAAAACACAAAGCCATAAAAGTGTGGGAAAAAAAATCCCAAACAAAATATCACAATTAAGATAAATGACATACCAGGAAAAGAAATATCTGTTCACTTATATCAAAGATAAGAGTTAAAACACTTTTATTTTTATTTTTAAGAGATACAGTCTCATTCTATTGCCCAGGCTAGAATGCAGCAAATGGTGCCAATATAGCTCACTGCAGCCCCAACCTCTTAGACTCAAGCGATTTTCCGGCCTCAGCATCACTAAATTAAAAAAAAACTTAAAGAGATGGGTTCTTGCTACGTTGTCCCAGGGTTGTCTTGAACTCCAGGCCTCAAGTGAACTTCCCACCTCAGCCCCTCAAGTTGCTGGAAATATAGGCACAAGCTTCTGTGCCCAGCTAAACTCTTTAATATAAAATAGGCAAAGGGTATGAAATAAAAGAAAAAGTACATACCTCTCTGCAGAGCCCCTACAGTGTGAGAACCACTGAGGAGATTTAAAAAAAAAACAAATGGAACCTGGAATAATAATTTCAGAGCATCCTGAGGGTACTAGAAATTACAGACTTTACAAAATGGAAAAAACCGACAAACAAAATATTTAAAGTTGAGTCATCTCATCTTAAGTTATCTTTTACTTATTGCATTTTCTAAATAAAAACCCCTCTCATGTGCATTTCGAGTTTAATATTCTTGCACTGTTTACAAAAACATATAAAAAGCTAACTCTTAATTCTAAAACTAATTCTTAGTGTTTAAGCACTAAAATGAGGTTCCAGAATATTGCAGTCAGATTCATTTTCTGGTGGCCTCTGGGGACAGAGAATTAATAGAAACTTTCTGGGATTATGAAAATGTTCTACAACTTGTTTTAGATGGTGGTTAAGGAAGTATACTAAACCAACAAAAATCGTTATATTGAGCACATTTTATTATGTAGAAATTAATCCCTCAAATAATTTCCCTTTTAAATGGTTAACAGGTATACTTATAAAATACTTCCCTTAATATGAAAAATTCTGCAGGCTAAAGCTGCCAAATATTGTTTTGTTGTTATAAACACATTATTTTATTGTTATTAACATATGTTAAAGCATGCTTATATACAAAGATATAATTCATATCAGGGTCTCAGGTATTACTGTCTACATTGCTCAACTGAAACACATGCCCAAATATGGATATGAATGTGTACTCCTTTTTGGTCAAACACTCAAATAAAACAAAACAAAGCAAAACACAAATAATACTCTCCCCTCACACATCAATAACTAATTTTCAATGGTAGCTGTAGCATATGGATTATATCCAGAATAATCCATAATATTTAAATCTTTCAAATTAAAAATTATACTTAATATGAAAAATATTACTTACTATTGTATATTTTAAGTAATCTAATATAAAAGTCATATGCTGATTAACTGAAGACAAAAGTCTTTTTTTTTTTTGAGTCAGAGTTTCGCTCTGTTGCTCGGGTTAGAGTGCAGTGGCATTCTCAAGGCCACTGCAACCTCGACTGCTGGACTCAGGTGATCCTTCCACCTCAGCCTTCTACATAGCTGGAACCAGAAGTGCATGCCACAATGCCTGACTAATCTTTTTGATTGATTGATTTTTTCTGAGTCAGAGTCTCACTCTGTTGCCCAAGCTGGAATGCAGTGGCATGCTCACAGCCACTGCAGCCTCGACCTGTTGGACTCAGGTGATCCTTCTGCCTCAGCCTTCCAAGTAGCTGGAACTACAGGAATGCGCTGCCACAATCAGCTTTTTTTTTTTTTTTAAATTTATTGTAGAGACGAGATCTCACCAAATGCTCTGACTGGTGTTGAACCCCTGAGCTCAGCCAATCCTCTCGCCTCTGCCTCCCAAAGTGCTGGGAATACAGGCATAAGCCACCATATCCAGTCTGAAAACAAAATTCTTAACCCTAAATGCTACTTCCTTTGAAGTAGTTTCAGAGGAAATAAAAAAAGCAAGCTTGGGGAGAAAGACACACCAAACCAAAACCAAGGAACTCTGGAAAGTGCAAGCATCCAAGAGGAAGCACAAGTACAGCTTCAGATACTCAATCCCACAGTTCCTAGTAACAGTGACGCCACTGCAAGATCCCATGGAGGAAACCGGAGAGCCACTTCAGACAGAGAAAAACTTGCTGATGTGCAGCGGTGTGAGTAGAGTGCTTCAAACAAGCAGTTAAAAAACCAATCAGCAAAACCCAAGACAGAAAAAGTGTTGATGTAAGAGCAAAATGTCTAAACTTAATCAAGTGATACATACCCGTCTGTCGATCTTATCACCCTGCAAATCATACATCAAAAATTATTCATAAATATTACTACTTTGGAAAATTTAAGTCTAGAAAAATCCATCAAAAAGTTTGTTACAGTCCCTTTACAAACCCAAGGCAATAATTTGGATCGAATAGTGTAAATCTTTTATTGTATAAGAATCTTGTACAATATATTAGACATATTGCATACTTTAGAGGATAAAGAATAATTTTATAACACTGTGACTACTTAAGAGTAGGGAAGACAACATCATCTTTAGCATTTCCCAGTATGCATTCATAGTAATGTCAACATTAAGGGACATCTACGGTGATAGTGGTCAGACAGTTAATAACTGTTTGGCTTTACATTTTACAAGCTGTTTTTAACAGATAGCAACACGAGAATGCCAAATATTAAATAAGATATGAAAACGTTTAAGTAGCTTCTTTGGTCACTAAAAGATAAATGAGAAATCAAAGATAAAATAAGCTTTCAATTGAAGTAAGCCAATTTTAAACAATACTCATTATTCTGTTATCCAGAATTATTTTCTAAGCTTTCATTTATAACTTGATGGCACTATGTGTCTGTAAAAGCTCAAATTTAAAAAAGTTCAATGAGTATGAAAATTAAAAACTAAAGAAGGACATGGCCATCATCATGGGGAGCGGGTGGGATAACTCCACTGCTACAGCAAAATAATCTTAGACTTATTCACATTTTTATTCTCCCTGACTGTGAATGTCGATGATTTTGTAGTTTTGCTAAAGAAAGAATGTGGATTGTTCAACAGCAAGGTTGGTATATGTGGGTAAATCATGTAACAGTAAGTGATACTCCTAAATGCCTAGTATCTACACTTCAGTAAAGTTTCACTGTTGTCATTCAGAGCCTAAAGGAATGCAAAAGTTATGGTTATGTTTTTCTACATCTTACTAGGTAAATTATACATGTTGGGGACTTGAGGACTTAAGAACTCACAAACATCAAGTGGATACACAGTACAACTATATACACAATGGCCTGCTATTGCATATTTGTTTCTGGATGATCAGTGCTCTGAGAAGAGAAAGGAGGCACACACTATTGCTATTTTATTCTATTCCCTCTCATAAACCGTGTTGAACTGAGTTACTAAGAAGAAAGAGAAAATGACATGCAAGAACAGTGTGGATGATTCAAGAAGAAAACAAAACCCAAAATACATTTTTGCCCAGACACGTGTTTCCATCAAGAGGCAGACCTTGCAACTACGTGGCCACACTATTCCTGCAAGAGCGGTATTGCTTTCCCTCCACAAAAGTGTTTCTGGTTATGATTAACTAAGCAGCTCTGCCTGCCCTGTCCCTTACATCTGCATTTTCCAAGGATCTCCTACGTCATGTCATCGACTTCAAAAATACAGTTAGAACTTCCCCCGAGAAAGGGTCCCTTACCTGTGAGAGGATGTTGGTGCACTGCTGCAGTAGCGAAACTGGAGGGTTGCCGATACTGGTTGCAAGCTGCACCCGGAGCAATTGTTCCTTCTGGGCAGCGTTTCCTTGTAGCGCATGGGCAAGGGCCACAGCAGCACACCAGTTTGAAAGTGAGTCCGTAGAAAACAAGCCTCCACACAATAACTGGCCGGCGGAGACTGAATTGCCTGTTGCTACAAAGATGGCAGACCAGATAATAAAATACATTAAAATTTTACTGTGTGGGAGTAAACCATATTTTAAAAAACTATTGTCTTCTATGCACATAATAGTAAAAAATGCCATTTAAAAATTTGTTAATTAGAAGTATTAGGTAATATTTTCAAAACAATAAGTCTGCTTTTCAAAACAAAATGAACAATGACAGAAAAGTATCTTGGAAGAAAAACAGAACAAAGAAATACAGGTTGATACCCATTATCTGAAATGCTGGGGACCAGAAGTATTTCAGATTTGGGATGCTCAACCTATATTAGAACACGCTAGGAATCAAATTAATGAAATTAAGGAAATGCCACATCTTAATTATCCACTACACCCAGGATCTTATTTCATTTACAGAAAATAATTTTATGGTAATAATATTTTATAATTACATATTATAATATAATTATACACAATACATATTAATATAACAATATTTTATACTTATGATATGCTAATATTTTTTAAATTTTGGTAAAAAATATAATTAGACTTAATTTCTGAAAAAAATACCTCAATGTATGTAATTAAAATGAGCTCTACTGATATCTCCTATTACCTTTACTAAATTGCTCTTACAGTTTAGTTAAAGCTAACAAAGGTAAATATGTAAATAATTTATCTCAGGGAAAATGAAATATCTAAAAAACCCATAAAAAGGGTAATGACTCTAACCTACACTAGAACAAAAGAACAAATGTAATGACCATTAACAGCAGCTCCTGTTCACTAATATCTAATATATACCAAGTATTAGGGTGAGTGCTTTGCATATGTCATTGCATTAATCCTCACAATATTCCTCATGAGGTATTATCCCCACATCTAGAAGCATATTATTATCCCCCCCGTAACTCAACAAGGAACAAGTTAAAAATAACTTGCCCAAAGTTACGCAGCAAGAGAAGTGGAAATTCTATAATGGAAACTCTGGTCTGGCTCCAAAACCCATACTGTAGGCCTTGGAATTCAGGGGTTTTTCTTTTACTGTCTTTTTTTTCCTCCTTTTTTTTTTTTCCATTTTATTCAAGTGACAGAGGATTTTTTTTCTAAGCATACAAAGTATTTTAGGCTAAAGTACAGAGAGAAAATTTCAATTAAAAGCTCAAAAGACAATTACTTACTTTTTAAAATAGAAATTACAACTAAATTATTTACCATCAATGGTGGAAGGTAGAAGTGTTGACACAATTTCTCCTTGTCCTTTTTGGTTTTTATATAAGAAACACTGGAAACAATAGAGAACAGCACAGCGCAATACAAATGGCTGCCTTTCATTAACCATGGACATGAGGAGCACTACAATTGCCGGTCTGTTGCATTTAAAAAGAAAAGAACACAATAAAAGGTTGCAACTCAAGTATATAAGTCAGTAACTATTCACTTTTACTGATTAAAGAATAAAAAGCAGAACAGCAGCAAGCTAAGTATTTCCATTTCACAGAAAACTGCAGCTGAAAGAAGTGACTTGTATGACTAAGGATAGGCTAGGATGTAGAAGTAATGATCTGAACCTAAACAGCTAAATTCCAAAGATTACAAATTCTTAAAATACCAATATATTTATCTTGCCAGATAATTTCTAGTTTCAAAACATACAACTGAACATCTTTAAAAAGAGTAAGATGTGTACGTGAGATAGATGAACAGCCCAAAGTAACTTTTTACCTCCTCAGAGGAATCTCAATAGTGCCCTTTTCCTACCTAGGTGGGTTTGAAGGTGCATTTACAGACGCAAAGTAGTCTTGGTTTACTTGGCAGCCTCGAATCACTTCTGATACAGTATTTATAGTCTATTAAGGAGAGAAAAAACATTTAGAGAAAGTAACTCAAGGAAGAAAATCTGTTTTCTTTTTCTTTTTTTTTTCTCACTCCATTTCTCAGTCTCACTTCATTGCCCAGGCTGAAGTACCGTGCATACTCACGGCCATCCCAGCGTTGACCTGCTGGGTTCCGGCAATCCTTCCACCTCAGCCTAAAAGTAGCCAGAAATATAGGCGCACTACCACGCACAGCTAATTTTTAAAAGTTTATTGTAGAGATGAGGTCTCGCACCTGTGGGCTCAGGCAATTCACTTGCTTTGGCCTCCCAAAGTGCTGGGCCTCCCAAAGTGCTGGGATTATAGGCTGAGCCCACCAAGGCTGGTCGAATATAGGTTTTCAAAAGAAGAAAATGTGATATCCTGCTTTTTCTTTGAAGTGCCAAAACTCAGACACCAAAAACATCTATGATAACATTCTAATCTTGTAACATTTTCTCAAGGTAAAATTTAAAAACATTAAGCATGGACTTTCTGTTTATACACTTGACCATAGGCATTTAAAATCTCAAAAAACTAAAATTAGTAGTATTTCCTAATACATAAGATAATCTATTTCCATAAAAAAGAAAAATATGTTTAAAAAAAAAACAGAGAAAAATGTTTAACATGCAACAATTAAAAATTCAGGTTAAGCCAGGCTCAGTGGCTCAGCCTGTAATCCAGCGCTTTGGGAGGCTGAGGTGAGTGGATTGCCTGAGCCCGCGAGTTCGAGACCCACCTGGGCAACTTGGTGAGACCTCATCTCTACAATAAATCAAAAATCAGCTGGGCGTGGTAGTGTGCTGTGTGTGGGCTGAGGCAAGAGGATTGCATGAGCCTGGAGTGAGCCACAATCGTACCACTGCACCCCAGACGGGGCGACAGAGCAAGATCCCAACTCTAAAAAAAAAGTGCAAATAATAATAAAAGTTTTGGCTTGGTGTAGTGGCCTGCAGTTCCAGCTACTTGGAAGGCTGAGGCAGAAGGACTGTCAGAGCCCAGCAGGTTGAGGCTGCGGTGGCCGGGAGTGGCTACTGCACTCCAGTCTGGGTGACAGAGTGAGATTCCAACTCAAACAAATAAAAAATAAAAATAAATAAATAAATAAAAATTCAAGTTAAGAATGAAGTTGAAAAAAACTCCAAGAAAAAAAAATCAAAAAGACACACTATATTTCAAAACATATTGTAGAAAATATGTAGAAAACAATTCTTATTTGTCTTAAAAACTGATTAATCGATTTTTGTTTTTGTTTTGAGTTGGAGTCTCACTCTGTTGCCCAGGTTGGAGTGCAGAGGCCCGCTCACGGCCATCACAGCCTTGACCTACTGGGCTCAGGCAATCCTTCCACCTCAGCCTTCCAAGTAGCTGGGACTACAGGCATGCGATACCATGCCTGGCTAACTTTTTGATTTTTTGTAGAGACGAGGTCTCACCAAGTTGCCCAAGCTGGTCTCGAATCTGTGGGCTCAGGCAAACCTTTCACTTTGGCTTCCCAAAGTGCTAGGATTATACGCGTGAGCCACTGCCAGGCCAAAAAAATTGACTAATCAATTTTTTAAAAACTAGGTCTAGAAAGTCTAGTAACTTACTATTAGCATTGCAGAAAGAGAGCAAAAAAAATTATCGAGAAATACCCAAAACATCCTCAGAACTGAAGGACATCTATGTCTCTAGCTGAAAGTGACCAGTGAGTGACAAAAATAATTGGGGAATGAGGGGGTGGGGAAAAGGCCCACAGGGCAGTACGTCATTAGTAAATTTCAGAAATAAAGAAAATATCTTAAAGTCTGTAGAGAAAAAAAAAACCAGGCTACATTAAAAAAAAACAAAAAACAAAAAACACAATTAGGATTCAGAATGGCTTCAGACTTTTTAATAGCAATGCTGGAATGATGTGAAAGTTGAATGTTAGTGACTTCCAACCCTAAATTCCATACCTAGCCAAACATTAAATTAACTCTGAAGGAAGCGAAATAATGCTTTCAGATATGAAAGCATTTAAAACATTCTTTTGCCATTTATTCTTTTTTGGGGAAATTAAGGAAAACAAGATAGTGAACCAAGAAGTGGGGGGCAAAATATGGAATCCAAATCAAGATAGGTAAGGGAAATCCTAGGGGGATGGTAAAACAAAGTGCCAAGACAAGAGACATGTGGCAGAACTAGAGCCCAGACAGGAGCAGGAGGGAGTGTCCTCAGAAGGCCTGAGGTGAGAATGATGTGTGCAGTACACGATAGCATTAATAGGCACAGATATACAGATGATCAAGAGAGAAATTTTTAAAAAGGACATAGGACTCTATTTGGCTTAGCGGAAGGATTATTAGTATAGTTGTAAAAACATAACTCTGGCTGTTGATTTAAATATAAATTCCATAAGATAATTACGGGGTGACATGAGGAAGCAGAGTGAGAGGGGAAGTGGAACTTTACTTAAGGTAAAGAGGAGTGGGAATAAAGATAGCTGTTTTGGTATAAAACTTTTATTAGTATTATTTTTTGAGTTGGAGTCTCACTCTGTCACCCAGGCTGGAGGGCAGTGCCACGTCACAACCACTGAAGCCTCGACCTGCTGGGCTCAGGGGATCCTTCCATCTCAGTCATCCAAGTAGGGAACTACAGGCACGTGCCACCACGCCTGGCTAATTTTTCTTGATTTATTGTAGAGATGAGGTCTCATCAGGTTGCCTAGGCTGGTCTCAAACCCGTGGGCTCAAGCGATTCTCTCACCTCGGCCTCCCAAAGTCCTGGGATTATAGGCATGAGCCACTATACCCGGTCAAAACTTTTATTATTATTTGCACTCTTTTTTTTTAGAGTTGGGATCTTGCTTTGTTGCCCCGTATGGGGTGCAGTGGTACAATTGTGGCTCACTCCAGGCTCATGCAATACTCCTGCCTCAGCCTACAGAGAAGCTAGGACTAGAGGTACGTGCCTCCACACACAGCTAATTTTTTTTTTTTTTTTTTTTTTAGGAGGAATAGAGTCTTGTTTATGTTACCTGAACTTCTAGCCTCATGCAATCCTTCCACTTTCGCTTCCCAAAATCCTGGAATTACAAGTGTGAGCCTATGTGCCCAACTCCTATTATCTGTACTTTTAATGTGTATGTGTTAATTAGAAAAAAATTTAAAAATATGAAATAAATGAATCTTCTTTTCTTCAAATTAACTTTTATTATAGGTTAGAAAACAGAAAATGCCCTACATCAGGGAAAAATAATTTACTACTCAATGAATCTACTTGTTGAGTAAGATAAGTCACTTTTTTCTCAAAATTAAAAACATAAATCATACTGTGCACTCTTGTCGAATACAATATGAGAAGTCTTTTTTGATGAACCTGCTAAGTTTTAACATTATTCCTATCTATAAAACGTGAGGAATAAGTATATCTTTTGGAATCAGTACTGCCGTCATTATGTTAATTATATTTTAGTTAAGGTCAGTAAAGAATTTAATATGTAAAAATGGTAACTATTTTTGTTTTCCTTCAACTAATATCTACTTCTGGCTGGGCATGGTGGCTCATACCACCTTAGCACTTTAGAAGACGGAGATGAGAAGACTGCTTGAGCCCAAGAGTTTGAGACCAGAGTAGGCAATACCAGGAGACCTCATCAACAAAAATCAACAAATTAGCCGGGTGTGACGGTGTATGCCTGCAGTCCCAGCTACTCGTGAGGCTGAGAAGGAAGGATTGCTTGAGCCCAGAAGATTGTGGCTGTGGTGAGCCGTGATTGTGTCACTGCTCTTCAGACTGGGAGACAGAGTGAGACTCTGACTCAGACAAACAAACAAAAAATCTATTTTCCCCTAGGATTCCTGATTTCAATTTTTATAGGGTGACCTCTGAGTTAATTTGGTTTACCTCGGTCAGGATATCAGCAGGAACTCCAGTAGCCATCAGGATAGTACAGAGCTGTTGCAATAACCCACACTGGAACATAGCTTTCTGACAGCTACTAGTAGCACCAGGAGGGTTGGTGGGAGATACCAGTACACGAACAAGCTGTGAAAGACAAAATTTGTTTTTTAAAAATGTGAAAAGTCTTGAGGCAAATCTTATATATGTGCACAGGAGTCTGTATAAGGCCCCCCCCTGTGCTCAGCCAGACCCAGATGCTCTTTCCTTCATGCTCCCACGGCAGCAGTTCTGTAATAGTATATAAGACATGAGGCTATTTGCTTAAGGTTGTCTCCTTCAGGAGACTGTGAACTGCCAGAGGTAGAATTCCTAGAGAAACTTGCTCATTTTTGCATGCCCAAGAACAAGCAGAGTATTTGTTGTACATATTCAATAAATAAATAAGTTACAGGGTGGTAGATTTCTTATCAAAGAATAAATTATCAAAATAAGAATAATAGAGAAGTCTGTAAACAGAATAGCCTGAGGTGTGATCAATTCCCCCTAAAGTGAAATTATTTAAAGAGAGGCTAAAATTAACAACACGGTGAAAGATTCTTATGTTAGGGAAGTGGTTGGCCTCACTGATTGTTAATGCCAATTAAATCCCTATGATTCTATGATTACCCTGAATGTGAACAAATTTCAGAAACATGAAAAAGTCATCCCAAACAACTATTAATTGTATACATATCTTACATTTTAAAATGTTACATGTATATGCACAAAATCTGGCGTATCAAGATCAAATGGGGTATTTGTAAATACTTTGTTAACAAAGTGCTACACAAATGTTACCCATTATTTTACAGTAGACACAAAGAGGTAATCAACGATATAACAGAGTAGACAGAGTAGACTAAAACAATTCTATTACCACAATTGACATACATCATAGATTGTGACTTTACTAAGAAAGGGGATTTGTGTGAAGGAGGAGCTAAACATTAAAAACAAACTCTACAAAGTGGTATTTTTATTTTGGTAAGTAAAATGATCAGGAATCACTAGAATTTGAGGAAAACCTCAACCAGTAGTTACGTCAGTGAGTAACGATGAAACAGATTCAGATAGTTCCATATCTGGCTTAACAGACATTCTCAAAGAGGGTTGCTTATAATAAACTGATGTCACTATAGAAAGACTTCAGAATTATACTGATTTTTGTCCTTGTTTTGTTCCCCTTTAATTTCCTTCCTTCCTTCCTTTTATTCAAAGGAAATACCAGGCAACATATCATTTCTCCCATAAATAATCCTCCCATCCTCCCTCCCTTCCTCCTTTCTTTTTTGTATTCAAAGCAAATACCAGGCAATATATATCATTTCTCCCATAAATAATTCTGTATTTGGCCAGGTGCAGTGGCTCATGCCTGTAATCCCAGCTCTCTGGGAGGTTGAGGCAGGAGGATTGCTTGAGTCCAGCAGTTAGAGACCAGCCTGGGCAACATAGCAAGACCTCCATCTCCATATTGTTTTTAAAAAAAATTCTGTATGTATCTCCTAATAAGAATTTTTGAAAATACAATCATGCCATTATGATATCTAACAAAATGAATAATAACTCTTTACTATCATCTAGTAGCTGTTGAGTACCTTTACTGATGATGTAACTAAAGAAAAATAAATGATCAAATTTTCAAATGACAGAGTAGAAAGGATGGTAAACAAAGAGGGAACACTTTTAAGGAAAAGAAGATAAGGGAGAGGATCTAATAATAACATTTAAATATATAAAATATTATCACCAGGAATGGACTTGTATTGGTACAGAAGGCAAAACTAGAGGAAATTTATAGAAGTTATATCATGACTGATTTTTACTTAGCATATAGATTAAGTTTCTAATAACAAAAACTACTCTCCAATGAAAACGTTTTGAGTTTTCTAAGAGTCACTGGCAGTATCTGTCCAATAAAATGGTATAGAATAGATTTATGCAGGGATAGGAGGTAGAACTAGTCATAAAACTCTCATTCTATTTTTAAAAAGGAAATATTTTATGACTAAAAAACTTTCCAAAAGATGCCTTCCTCTAAATTTAATCTCCAAAATTTGAATAAAAAATTCCCAAAAGGACCAATTTCCGTTTTTAGTGGCCTAGAATTCAACCATGATAATAACTATGATGATGAATAATTCTAATCAGAATATATACATCCAAACAGGAAAACGATGCATTTTTATTTGGTTTATAATAGAGAGCTTGAAATACAGGCAACTCTAAATAAGGTTATAAAGAAAGAGTTCTCTCACAGGTACTGTGGCCTAGGAAGCCACGAATGTGCCAACTACTCAATCTTTGAGGTGGAGAATATATTAAACTGGCCATGTTTCCTGGCTTTGGCCCCCTTCCCTACCTTGGGGAGGTGAATCTCCTCTTTCTCTTTCTAACCTGCTTTCTAAATAAACTATATTTTCTAATCATTAAAAAAAAACTGGGGGGGGGAGATTAAAAAATACTTTACTTTTTAAGCAGTGACACTTCAAAATAATTCTTCATATACTACCCTAAACCATAAAACACGAGTGGGCTCCTCAGTTCATACTTTCACTGTTTGGCAGGAAATATAAGCTTGTACATGTCATCGGATCCTCTCACTTTAATCACATTTTGAAAATTACATTTCTAAAGGAATATCCTTCACTAAGAAAGCAGTGTTGCACCTGCACTCGTGTGTTTGTTACAGCACTATTCCCAATAGCAAAAACAAGGAAGCTACCCAAGTGCCCATCCATGGTGGACTGGATGAAGAAAATGTAGTGTATATACACCACAGACTACTACACAATCACACAAAAGAATAAAATCATGTCCTTAGCAGCAACATGGATGTAGCGGGAGGCCATCATTCTAAGTGAGTTTTTCCGGAAACACAAAACTGAATCCTGCATGGTCTCGCTTGTAAGTGGGAGGTAAACACTGGGCACATATGGGCATAAGGATGGGAACAACAGACACCAGGACTACTAAACTGGGGTAGTGAGGGAGGGTGAAAGGAAGGGAGGGAGAGGATTGAAAACCACCATCTGGAGGGCAGGCTCAATGGACGCCCAAGCTTCACCATCACACAATATACCTATGTAACAAACCTGCACATATGCCTCTTGAATCTAAAATGTTTTTAAAAAGGAAAGAAAGCAGTGTTGAACAAAGATATCAAGCTTGCCCCTTGGTAATGCTGTTTATAAAACAAAAAATTAACATGTGTAATACTGACACATGAAAATAAAAATGATGAAGTTGGGAGTATAAGAAAGAAGGATTTTGTGACCATGATCCTTTGTAAAATACTTTTAAACAGTTTTTAGGCATATTCTAAATAGGGTAACTACAAAATTTATAATCCAAACCAGGACACTTTTCAAGTGAAAGAGGACAGTATTAGTAATTACAAAACGAAAACTGTACTGGCAAATTGGGGCACATGGTTATCCTAATTATCAGTCAATCCTTTGCAGGCAATTCCCAGAGCATGAAACAATATTAAGACTCTACTAACTAGAGAGGCTAACCATCTAGTTTGAGGCCCACAACTTCGGAGACACAGGTGTAATTCAGAGACAAAGACCCACAAGAGCTACAAGAGAGCTCAAGAGTGAGGAGGCTGGTATAAATTGAAGGGTTAAAGGAGTTAACAAGTAAAATCTTCAACTTTTCTCTGATGAGGAACATTTAGGATCCTATTGTCCTCACTTACAACCTTCACTAAACTTTCAGCATAAAACTACAGCTGATTTGTCAGTTTAAATTTGTACTGTTAATCAGCCAAGCGCAGTGGCTCATGCCTGTAATCCCAGCACTTTGGGAGGCTGAGGTGAGTGGACTGCCTAAGCCCATGTGTTTGAGACCAGCCTGGGCAACTTGGCAAGACCTCGTCTCTACAATAAATCAAAAAATTAGCTGGGCGTGGTAGTGCACACTTGTAGTTCCTGTTACTTGGAAGACTGAGGCAGAGGGATGGCCTGAGACCAGCAGGTCGAGGCTGTGGTGGCCGTAAGCATGCTGTGCCACTGTACTCCACTCTGGGTGACAGAGTGAGACTCCAATTAAAAAAAAAAAATCAAAATCAACAGTCTAACCTATTATTCCCTAATGTAAAACCCATCAGGAAACTATTTATCTGGATTTGCTTTAAAATACTACAGCAAAGTAAGAGAGGAATGAAAGATGAAATAAATTGCAGATGTTAATAATTATTGAAGCTGGCCAGGCTCGGTGGCTCAGCCGGTAATCCCAGCACTTTGGGAGGCCAAGGCGAGTGGACTGCCTGAGTCCGTGGGTTCGAGACCTGCCTGGGCAACTTGGCAAGACCTCATCTCTACAATAAATCAAAAATTAGCCAGGCAGGGTAGCACACACCTGTAGTTCCGGCTACTTGGAAGGCTGAGGTGGAAGGATTGCCGGAGCCCAGCAGGGCAAGGCTGCGGTGGCCGGGAGCATGCCACTGCACTCCGGTCTGGGTGACAGAATGAGACTCCAACTCAAATAATAATAATAATAATAATAATAATAATAATAATAATAGTTGAAGCTGAGTAATGAGTGGGTAGGATCTCCGCTCTGAGTGGAACTGCAAATTTCCATATTAAAAGTTTTTTAAGCCCCCATGAAACCAACTGAATATCCTAAATATCATCAAACACAAGGAGTTTTATTTTCTTTGAAAGGATCACAGTCAGAGTTCTTACCACATTTACATCTATGGATAGTATACCTGGAGCATTAGGTGGAGATTGGTCACCTTCTGTGCAGACCAGCCAAAATTTTCATCTCCTACTTCAAACCAAGGTTTCATACGTTGAATATATGAGCCTTCTTTAAAAAAATTTTGATTGGAATTGTTGTTTTTTAACAAGTTTTGGAGCAAAATCAAACAATCTTCAACTACTATACCTGGGGAAACAATGTAAAATGGAAGTGTTAAGGCCAATGAAACCTGAAGAAAAATTAAATCTCCAAACATTTTTAAAAAGATGAATTTCCATGCTCAGTATCCTTTGGGATGACCAGGCAGACAGCCTGCTCAGACTCCTGATAGCTTCAGGCCACAATTTGCCTGCTCTTTCTCAGGTTCCCTAGCATCCTTGAAACTTCCTTGGTTTCCAAAACACTACTCTCCTGATTTCCTTACAGCTCCCTGGCCACTCCTTTGAGTTTGTCTCCTTCTTTGTTCTCCATTGTTTCATCCTCTTCTGTGCTTACAACATACCACAAAGCAGTTTTATCCACATGATGGCTTCCTATGACCACAGTGAAAGTTCTCCAACTGATCTCTACATTACCAAGTACTAGATTAATCAATGGACTCCATTTCCTCTGAAAAAAACAGACTGATAATGGATGTTCACAGCTAGTAGGCTTGTCTGATATACCCACGCTTTTGCTCCTACTAGTTGAGCTATATGTCGACAATAGTTACTTCTAAAACAACAGACACTTTTTAGAGCAATTTTAGGTTTATAGAAGAACTGAGTACAAATAAAGTGCTTCCATTTAGAGGCATGTATTGTATACAACCTTTTTGCTGGTGGAGGATCTTGCCTGGATGCTGATGGCTGCTGAAGACTGAGGGCTGTGGCAGTTTCTTAAAATATGACAACAATGAAGTCTGTCACATCGACTGACTCTTTCACACAATTGTATGATAGCATTTTATCTACAGTAGAACTTTCAACATTGGAGTCAATCTTCTCAAACCTTGCTGCTTCTTTATCAACCAAATTTACATAATATTCTAAATCTCTTATTGTCATTTTGATAATGTTCACAGCATCTTCACTGATTATACCACAGAAAATCACTTTTTTTTGTATGTCTATAAGAAACAACTGCACATCTATTAAAGTTTTATTGTGAGACTGCAAGAATTCAGTTACGTCTTCAGGCTCCGCTTCTGAATCTAGTTGTTATCTCCACCACATCTGCAGTTACTTCCTCCACTGAAGTGTTGAACTTCTCAAAATCATCCATGAGGGTGAGCTCAGCCTGTAATCCTGCGCCTTTGGGAGGCTGAGGTGAGTGGACTGCCTGAGCCTGCGGGTTGGAAACCCGCCTGGGCAGGCGAGACCTCATCTCTACAATAAATAAAAAAAAATTAGCCGGGCATGGTAGCACGCGCCTGTAGTTCCAGCTACTTGGAAGGCTGAGGCGGAAGGATCGCCGGAAGGATCGCTGGAGCCCAGCAGGTCGAGGCTGCGGTGGCCACTGTACTCCAGTCTGGGTGACAGAGTGAGACTCCAACTCAAAAAAAAAAAAAAAAAAAAAAAAGGAAAACACTAATCTCCTTTTACATTTCAACCAGAGCTCTGAGTGATCAGATTCACTGTGAATTAGAAGTAATATTTTAAAAGGAATCTTTTTTTTCCCGAGTAATGGGCTTAAAATATTCAATAAACAGCTGGGTTCGGTGGCTCAGCCTGTAATCCTGCGCCTTTGGGAGGCTGAGGTGAGTGGATTGCCTGAGTCCGGGTTCAAGATCTGCCTGGGGAGAGAGACCTCATCTTTATAATAAATCAAAAAATCAGCCGGGCGTGGTAGCGCATGACTGTAATTCCGGCTTCTCGGAAGGCTGAGGCGGAAGGATCGCTGGAGCCCAGCAGGCGAGGCTGCGGTGGCCGGGAGCAGCCACTGCACTCCAGTCTGGGCAACAGAGTGAGACTCCAACTCAAAAAAAAAATCAATAAACCATGATGTAAACAGATGTGTTGTCTTCCAGATATTGCTGTTCCATTTAGAGCACAGGCAGAGTAACTTTAGCATAATTCTCCAGAATCCTAGGATTTTCAGAATAGTAAACAAGCACTGGCTTCAACTTAAAGACAATAGTTGCTTTAGCCCCTAACAAAAGAATCAGTCTGTCCTCTGAAGCCAGGCATTGGTTTCTTTCTAGCTACAGAAGTTCTAGAAGGAAACGTTTTCCAATAGAAGGCTGTTTTGTCAACAGTGAAACTGTTTAGTGTAGCCACCTTCATCAACTATCTTAGCTAGATCTTCTGAATAAGCTTGTTGTCACATTATTCAGCACTTGCTGCTTCACCTTGTACCTTTGTTATGGGGAATGTCTCTTAAATCTTATGAGTCAACCTCTGTGAGTTTTCAACTTTTCTTCTGCAGCTTTCTCACCATTCTGAGCATTCACAGAATCAAAGAGAACTATGACTTTGCTCTGGATTCAAGTTTGGCTTAAGGAAATGTTGTGGCTGGATTTATCTTCTATCTACACCACTAAAACGTTCTCCAAAGCAGCAATAAGGCTGTTTTGCTTTATGATTCATGTGTTCAGTGGAGTAGCACTTCAAGAATTTCCTTCAAGAACTTCTCATTCACATTAACAACTTGGCTAACTATTTGGTGTAAGAGGCCTGACTTTTAGCCTATCTCAGCTTCCGACATGCCTCACTAAGTTTAATCATTTCTAGCTTTTCATGGAAAATAAGAAATACACAACTCTTCTTTTCACTTGAACACTTTGAGGCTATTGCAGGATTATTAATTGCCCTAATTTCAACACTGTTGTGTCTCAGGGAATAGGGAGGCCCATGGAGAGGGAGAGGGAGAGGAGTGGGGAAAGGGCCAGTTAGTGGAGCAATCAGAACACACATATTTATTGCTTGTCTTATATGGGTGCCATTCATGGTACTCCAGAAGAATTACAATAATAACATTAAAGATCATTTATACAGATCACCATACCAAGATATAATAATGGAAAGTTTAAAATATTCCAAGAATGACTGCAATATGATGCCAATATACCTATTCAATACAGGGTTGCCACAAACCTTCAATCTGTGAAAAACACAGTATCTATGAAATGCAATAAAACGAGGTAAGCTTGTACTCTCCTTGTGTCCTCATTAATATCTTGCATTACCGTGGTACATTTCTTACAGTTCATGAATAAATTGATTCACATTATTAAAGTCTACAGCTTACAGTTTGCTCTTCATGCTGTAATGTTCTATGGGTTTTGACAAACATAAAATCACATGCACCCACCATTATAGCATCATACAGAATAGTTTCCTAGACTAAAAATACCCTGTGCTTCACCTATTCATCCCTTCCTTCCTCTACCCTGGAATCTCTGGCAACCACTGATCTAAACTTTACTATTTATATAGTGTGATTTTCCAGCATGCCAAATACAGTTGACACTGAACAACACAGATTTAAACTACAGGGGTGCACTTATACACAAATTTTCTTCCTTCTCTGTCACCCCCGAGACAGCAAGACCAACCCTTCCTCTTCCTCCTTCTCCTCAGCCTGTTCAACATGAAGATAGCAAGGATGAAGACCTTTATGATGATACACTTCTTAATGAAAAGAAAATATATTTTCTCTTCCTTATAATTTTCTAAACAACATTTTCCTTTCTCTAGCTTACTTTAAGAATACAGTATATGGCTGGGCACGGTGGTTCAAGCCTGGAATTCCAGCACTTTGGGAGGCTGAGATGAGAGGATTGCCTGAGCCCATGGGTTTGAGAACAGCCTTGGCAACTTGGCAAGACCTCATCTCTACAATAACTAAAAAAAAAAAAAAAATTAGCTGGGCGGGGTAGTGAGCGCCTGCAGTTCCGGCTACTTGGAACGATGAGGCAGAAGGATTTGACGCTGAGAGGGCCGTGAGCATGCCACTGCACTCTAGCCTGGGCGACGGAGTGAGACTCCAACTCAAAAAACAAAAGAATACAGTATACATGTACAATGACCATTTGTATACCTAACTCTGAACTGTATCCTACATCTTTAAAATAAAAATTTTTAAAATACAGTATATAATACAAATAACATACAAAGTAAGTGTTATTGGTAAGGTTTTTGGTCAACATAGGTTATTAGTAACTAAGTGTTTGAGAAGTCAAAAGTTATACATGGATTTTCCATTGTGCTGGGGGTTGGCACCCCTAATCCTGCCATTGTTCAAGGGTCAACTGTAGTTGGAATCATAAATTATGTAGCCCTTTCAGACTGGCTTATTTCACTTAGCAATACGCATTTAAGGTTCCTTCATATCTTTTCATAGTTTGATAACTCTTTTTATTGCTAAATAATATTTCATTGCACGAATGTACTATAGTTTGCTTATCCATTCAACTATTGAAGGACATCTTGGTTGCTTCCATGTTGTAATCATGAATAAAGTTATTGCAAAAATTCATGTGCAGGTTTTTGTTTGAATATAAGTCTTAAACTAATTTGGGTAAGTACCAAGAAACATGATTGTTGGATTGTATGGTAAGATTATGTTTAGCTTTGTAAGAAACTGCCAAACTGTTTTCTAAAGTAGTTGTCCCATTTTGTATTCCCACCAACAATGAATGAGTTTCTGATGCATTCCATGTGTAACATCATTTTGTATTATGTTTTTTGATTTTCCTCATTCTAATAAGTGTGTTGTGATATCTCATTGTTTTAATTTGCAGTTCCCTAATGACATATGATGTTGAGCATCTTTTCATATGCTTATTTGCTATCTGAATATCTTCTTTAGTGAGATGTCTATTCTGATTTTTTGCCCATTGCTGTTGTTCTTTCATTGCTACATTTTAAGAGCTGTTAGTATTTCTTGGATACAAATCATTTTTCAGATGTGTGTTTTACAAAGAATTTTTTCTCTGTCTGTAGACTGTCTTTTTATTCACTTAACAGAGTACTTTGCAGGGAACAAGTTTTCAATTTTAATGAAGTTCATTTATCAATTTTTTTTCTTTCACAGATCATAGTATTGTATCTAAGAAACAACTGTTTTATTCACAAAAATACCATGCTATGTACACTGATTATTAACCAAATATGATTTAAACTCCCAAAATATAAGTGTGAAAACAGTTGTTTTTATAAAAACTAAATCCAAGTCTTTGGTAAAATTCAAAATTCTGCTGTTAGGTATGCATAACACAATTCTAAAAGATAGAAAAGTAATTGTAAAAACCCAGAAAAATCCTGTATCCTATTTTAAAGAAATCAAAATGTAAATCCTACATGATGCATTATAGGTACGATATATGCAAGGAAGCTGATGAAAAAATCTAACCACCAGACCAAAAAACAAAGAAAAAGTTTTGGTCCTAATTCAAAAGAGTAGTACATAAACATGCACTTTTATTTTATTATATTTAACTTAAAAATAAAATGTTTAAGGTACACATTTTACATACTTTTTAAGAATTCCTGATATAGCTGGGCTCGGTGGCTTAGCCTGTAATCCTGTGCTTTGGGAAGCTGAGATGAGTGGACTGCCTGAGCCCGCGGGTTCAAGACCTGCCTGGGTAACTTGGCGAGACCTCATCTCTACAATAAATCAAAAAACCAGCCGGACGTGGTAGTGCGTGCCTGTAGTTCCAGCTACTTGGAAGGCTGAGGTGGAAGGATCGCCAGAGCCCAGCAGGTAAAGGCTGCGGTGGCCGGGAGCGACCACTGCACTCCAGTCTGGTCGACAGAGTGAGACTCCAACACAAAAAAATAAATAAAATAAAATAAAATAAAATGTTAAAAAAAAAAAAGAATTCCTGATATAACCAATCTATGATTGTTCCAGAGACCATAGTTCCTCTACCCATTTTATATAAAAAACTGCTCCCTGGAGGCTCTGGCTATGTGGCTGTGCCTCTTTTGCCACTCCTCTCCACAGTTATGTAACACATTCATGGTCACACCTCTTTGTTTACTAAAAACATCATTGGCACCTTGCTCAAAGTCTTCTCTTCTAAGTTCTGCTGTCACTTTTGAATTTAACATCAACAACCACTCATCTAACACAGAGAGCTCTCAGTTCCTTAGTCTCATCTTGAGTGACAATTCTCACCTTTTTACAAAAACCTCCCATCTTTGTGGCTCAAGTATTCTCAACATATCTGATCTATGGCTTCCCTGAGATTCTCAGTCCATCAACCAAACCTTTCTCCCTTTTTAGAAACTCCTGTCTTTACTTCCTTGTCTGTCTAGCTTAGATTACAAGGATCTTCATGTAATCCACTCTTTAGATAATATGCTAGGTTCTCTTGCCTCACTGTCTGTTCATAGCACCTTCCTGGGAAAGAACTAACCCTGTGAAGAACTGCATGACATTTTTTCTATATCTGCACCTAGGTGGCTAAGTATTACTAGAAGGAAAATAAATTATATACTCATGCAGTCCGTACTGCTATAAGATCATGGTGAACATCTAATGCGGCCCTTATGCTGACTGGAAGTCTTCCTGATTACAGTAGTGAAGCAGTCATCCTATTCTCCAAAAGACTACTAGTCTTCTCCGTTAGTTCTTATTAGTGTCCCCCACTTTACTCTCAGCATGACTCTGCCTTCAACTCAATTCCCTATCACCACATCTGCAAAAGGAGCTGCATACTAATCTATACCTTCAGAAAAGGAGAAAATATGCAGCTGGGATTTTCCAGAAATGATGAAAGATACCAACCTAGACTGCAGAAACCTAACAAACTTCAAACAGGATACATAAAAAAAAAATCCATACTCAATACGCTCTAGTGAAAGAAAAAAAAAGTACAAGGTATGAGTCTTCACTTATCTCACCAATTGTGTTCCCTAAACCCTAACAAGTGAGTATGAAAGCAATCTCTTCAAATAACTTCTGTGAAATATACCTCCATCACTGTTTCCCTCCTCTGTAATAATGTCCAGTAGTCTCTCAAAAGCATTTTCAAAAGCAACAATCTTCTGGATCGCTCCATTGCTTCTTGTTAGTGCCTGTAGTAGTAAGACACCCTTATAGAGAAGAAAAAGAATATTTAGTGGAGTAAAACATTAAGACATTTCAAAATTACTTTTACAAAAATCACAAAATTTCAGAACTGGCAGGAATTTCATAAGCCCAACTACTTACTTTATATACAGGGAAAACAGGAACAGAAAAGTTAATCAATTTGCATCCCTAAGGTTATTAAGTCTCCAAGGGACAGAGCCTTGACTAGAACCCATGCTTAACAACTCCTAAGTCAGTCCTCTTTCACTGTACAATATAGATATACAACAATCCATCACAGTCCTCAATCACTACATAGTTTTCATTACAGGATAAGACAGTTGTGTTTGATTATATCTGTCTCAGGAATGCCACTCCTCGTGCTTCATAACAGCAATAATGGAAAAGCTGTCATTCAATAATATAAATCAACAAACACTACAACATTCCAGCAGAGAAAGTTCTGAAATTCCTACAAATATCTGGCCCCCAAATTCACAAAACTTGCTTCTAAGTCAACAGAAAAACCATGCCTTGTGAATGACATGTACAGCACAAGACAATTCACACTAGTTTTCTTCTCAGCTCTTGTTAAACTGGATTTAACTTATATATTTTAAAACTTCTTTGTCACTTAAGAAAAACTCACTGCTACCCATTTTTGTTTATTTTAGTGTCAAATATTATAAGCCCCCAAGTGTCCAACAATACCATGATGGTCAAAGAGACAGCAAACATTTTGTGACAAAAAGCACAGATAATACTTCCAAGGAAGAGGAACAGCAAATAGGTAGTTCAAAAGTCCCGCAGAGGCAAATGAGCTGTGGCTGTCAGTACTGTGCACACAAGTCTTCACATATGACAACAAATACCCACAGCCTTGCTGGGCTTGTTCTACTCATTTTCCTAACTGCCAAGTTTCAACATTAAGATAAGAGAAAAGGCTAACGTGGCTATTTTTAGATGTCAAATCCCCCCACTTAATGTTGCCAACCTGAGACTCACTGCTAACAAAGGGAAGTTAAATAAGTGGGCTTAAAAACTGGTTGCCCTACTTACTAGTTGTACAACTCTAAGCAAATTACATAAATTCAGTATACTCGTATGTAAAACAAGGACAATATCTTTTTCAGGATTTTTATAAAGACTAAAAGAGATAAAATAACTTCCATAGAACCTATTAGCTTTTATGTTCTCAGTACAGTTAGTTTCTTTTTCTCTTATCCTCTTGAATAGGTTTATTGAAATCAATAATAAACCAAGAATCTAGATATTACACAAAAACAGAACTAAATCCCTAATCATAAAACTAACGAAAACTGACACAAGCAATCATTTTATCTGTCTCAAATAAAAATTGAGGAAAAGTTTAGACATAGGAATAAAAGGGTAAAGAGTTAAAAGAAAACAGTAGACTTAAGACGACAAGGCAGTTATTAAAGAGAGAAATTTTGTATCTGAAAATGAAAATACATAGTAATGATATTAATAGAGATACAGAGAGAAGGCTGGGCACCATGGCTCATGCCTGTAATCCTAGCACTTTGTAAGGAGACAGGAGGATCACTTGAGCTCAGGAGTTTCAGACTAGCCTAGATAACATATCGAGACCTCATCTCTACAATAACAGCAAAAAATTAGCCAGGCGTGGTGGCACATTGCCTGCAGTTCCAGCTACTCAGGAGGCTGAGGCAGGAGCATCACAGAAGATCAAGGCTGCTGTGAGCAGTGATTGTGCCATGGCATTCCAGCCCCTGGACGACAGAACGAGAGCCTGAATCAAAATTATAAATAAATAAAAGTAAAAATAAAGAGATGTTTCCAGTTGCTATCTAAAGTATTACAAAGTTTTGATCAAGTTGTAGACAACAATACAATAAAATGCTGAAGCAACAAAATGATATGTCATCAACACAAAATATTGAAAATATTTAAATAAATCAGAATGGAAAATGACTCCAGAGCACATCACGCCCCAGAGTGAAAAATCACCAAGGAAAATCCTTAGTAATACATGCTCAGTCAAATAAAGGCAGCTACTCTAAATGCAGTGCTTGTCAGGGTTCACAAAGTTCCATGTCTGGGGATATTCTTCTACTCTTTGGGAGTAAAAGGACATTGGTGCAAAATACAATATTTTAGCAGACACTAAAAGAAATTCTAAACTTATGAAAAAAATAAATTTGAGTAGCAAAATGGTTCATCTGACCCATAATACTGGACAGTCAGGAAACAAGAAATAATGTGGTCTTGTCTATAACTTAAAAAGGTCATTACCCCAATTTCCAAATCTAACTTCTTTTTTGTTGTTGTTTTTTTGAGTTGGAGTCTCACTCTGTCGCCCAGACTGGAGTGCAGTGGCCACTGGGCTCGACCTGCTAGGCTCCGGCGATCCTTCCGCCTCAGCCTTCCGAGTAGCCGGAATTACAGATGCACGCTACCGCCCGGCTGATTTTTTGATTTAGTGAGATGAAGTCTCGCTGCCTAGGCGGGTCTCGAACCCGTAGGCTCAGGCAATCCACTCACCTCAGCCTCCCAAAGCGCTGGAATTACAGGCTGAGCCACCGAGCCCGGCCTAAAATCTAACATCTTATAACTCACAATACTAATCAACAAAGATTTTATTTGCAAAGAGAAAAAAAAAAGATGCACATTCTTAGATTTCTTTATCAAATTTAACTTACATCATTACGTATAACTTCCCTGGAATCTGCTAATAAGTCCATCAATCTTGAAACACCTAGAACATACAATCATGTGAAAAATGCTAACAGACCAAAATACAAACAATGATTCAAAGTACTGACAATGTATTAACACACCCTTTCAGTCCCCTTCTCTAGAAAAGAATCCTCATGTTTAAATCAAAATGACGTACAGGAGATAAATCACTTACCCATAGGACTGACTAAAATAATCTGCTGCACCTGAGGCCCTAGCTGTTTTAAAAGAGAAGTAAGAAGTTTCACACCAGGCCAGCGGACATGGAAATCAAACTCCTGCAATACAAGAATGTAAAATAGCATCTATGATTCACATTTTCACGAAAAATATTCTTTTCAATTAACAGCGGTATCAGAAACTGCAACTAAAAAATGAAAGTTGAGCAAACATTTAAAAAGTAACTTGAGAAATAAAAAGCAATAAAAAGAAAACAGAGTTCATAAAAATTGATTAAAAGAATACATTGCTACTGATGGGATAAAACCGTGTTTTGAAAAAACAAAAATAAACAGAAGTATGTTAAAGTAGTATATATTTCTTGAAACATACATATGACTCTTCTAGCTATGTTAAAATAAATGTCACTACCTTTAAAAGTATATACATGCTGCTTCCTCAATTATATCCAAAGGCAACAAAAGCAGCTTATTAGATGACAAATATATCAAGGTTCCCTATTTACCTCCAATAAAGATAACAGCAGAGTGACATTTTCTTGCTGCTTAATGAAAATTTCTGTAAATTGGCTTCCCAAATCCTCACTCTGTCTTGTGGAATTTTCTTCTGTAATATTCAAAGATAAAGAACTTCAACAATGGTATGTTAAAGTATCCTTTCATTAAAGAGTTAAACAGAAATGATAATTTCCCTGGTACTGAAACAATTCAACAGAGTAGCTGGTAGCAATAAGACAATTATGATGTTAAGTGATAACCTTCAAACAACTTTTTTTTTCATACATATATATTATTTTAAAGACGTGGGATACAATTCAGGATTAGGTATACAAGTAGACATAGTATAGGTAAAGTTTGGGCCTCCCTTTGGTCCCCACAAACAACTTTCAAGTTCATTTAAATACATTTTTATTTGTTAAATATTTCAATATGACACTTGAAAACGTACATTAAAATATTTATATTTTATGAAGAACATTTTTTTTTGAGTTGGAGTCTCACTCTGTTGCCCAGACTGGAGTACAGAGGCACGCTCCTGGCCTCCACAGCCTCCACCTGCTGGCTCTGGCGATCCTTCTGCCTCAGCCTTCCAAGTAGCAGGAACTACAGGTGTGCACTACCATGTCCAGCTAATTTTTGATTTATTGTAGAGATGAGGTCTCGCCAACTTGCCTGGGCGGGTCTTGAACCTGTGGGCTCAGGCAATCCACTCGCCTCAGTCTCCCAAAGTGCTGGGACTACAGGCTGAGCCACTGAGCCTGGCCTCAAGAACATTTTAAGGTTAAACTTCTATTAGGGCGTAACAAAACCATTTTGGGGTGATAGAAATATTCTATCTTGAATGTGGTAATGGTAACACTTTTTGTACACTCTTGCCCAAACTCACAGGACTCTATAAATTCAAGGCATGAACTGTATTTTATATATATATAAATTGTATGTAATATTATGTTCTATTCATTTATTGTATTTAAACTGCACTGTAAATGCCATTGTATAAGTTATATCTCACATCTCTTGCCCCTCAGAAACATGATCAAACATACAGTCCTTGCTGATTGTTGAACTATTAAGATAATTTAATTCCAAAATAAATCCATCATCTTCAGAATCCTCCAGATCTTTTTCATATATATAAATATATGAAACAATCTATCCTATAAAACTATTTAGCAATAAAATAAGAATTTGACATTTAATGTCTCATTTTTCTCATGTATTCTTTAAAAGATTTTACATTGGTCCTTAATGCTTAAAAGTCCTTGGAGTACACTATGTGTAGTTTCAACATACTTTCTCATTAAAATGTAAAGGATCACTAAAATAGAAGCAACAATTGCTAAGGCAAATTATCAATTCAGATCTACCAATACTGTAACCTCAATCTAGAGATGGCAAATATATCATTTTCTATTGACTCACCAATACCAGACACAGCTATCTGATCATAGCACCAGCTGAGCATCAGAATCCTTTACCACACATTACTCTAGTAAGTGACTATAAGCCACTGGAGCTGGCAGTCAAGATCAAACCTATTATCCCTCAAAAACTTATTCTTTTTTTTTTTTGAGTTGGAGTCTCACTCTGTCGCCCAGACTGGAGTGCAGTGGACGCTCCCGGCCACCGCAGCCTCGCCTGCTGGGCTCCGGCGATCCTTCTGCCTCAGCCTTCCAAGTAGCCGGAATTACAGGCACGCGCTACCACACCCAGCTAATTTTTTGATTTATTGTAGAGATGAGGGCTCGCTGCCCAGGCAGGTCTCGAACCCGCCTGGCAATCCACTCAGGCAATCCACTCACCTCAGCCTCCTAAAGGTGCAAGATTACAGGTTGAGCCACTGAGCCCGGCTAAAACTTATTCTTTAAATGTGAGATTTTAATATTAGTATAGTGTAGAAATGGGGGGGGGGGGAAGCCAAAAAACAGCAGGTGATAGGAAAAGCAAAGCAATCTAAGAGAGACAGTGATAATCCCATCTAATTATTGTTAGAGAAAAGAGAAAAAAGAAGAAACCAAAAGCAGAAATGTTTTCCAGTACTGAGTAAGTACTCAAATAGGCTGGGTTTATCCTTCAGAAACTCTAGGATATATTTCTCTTAATCATCTCTTTATCAGTAAAATAATTCACCGTTTCTGACTCCTAAAACTATATTACTTAAAAAATATTTTAGTTTTAAAAGGATTACACTGGCTGCTATCCTTAAAATAGACTTTCAGGGAGATAGGTCAGAAGGAATAATCAAGGCTACAAGTGAAGATGGCTTAGATCTTAGGAGTCACAATTTTTATGAAAACAGATGAAACAAGATTGCCGACATATTACACAGAGGAAAAAAGAGGAAGAGTGAATCCAAGGTTTTGACCTGCAGAACTGGAAGGATGGAGTTGCCATTTATTGAGATAAGAAACACTGTGAGACAAGCAAGCTGAAGGTATAGAGAGAATTTGAAGTTTAGTTTCAGACATGTTAGGTTTGAGATACCTTACAGAAATCTAAGTAGAGATACCAAGTAAGACCGTGGATAAATAAATACAAGCATAGATGTCAGTAGAAAGGTCTGGATTGAACACACACATTAGAGTGGTAAACATATAAATGATATTTAAAGTCACAAGGCTGGATGACAAAACACAGCTATAAAAAACGTACAGCTAACATCATATTTAGTGGTGAAAGACAATGTTTTCCCTTTAAGATCAGGAAGGAGACAAGAACGCCCACTCTCATCAATTCTAACCAACACTGTGCTGGAAATCCTAGTAAGTGCCGTAAGACAGGAAAAAGAAACAAAAGGCATACAGATTAGAAAGGAAGAAATAAACTGTATTTATAGACGATATGTTTGTCTATGTGAAAAATCCTATGGAATCTACAAAAAAGCTACAGGAACTAATAAGTGGGCGAAGCAAAATTGTAGGATAAAAGGTCAATATACAAAATGAATCGTATTTCTATGCACTAGTAATAAGAAATAGAAACTGAAATGTAAAAACAGCACCAAAAAGGAAAAATTTGACAATAAACGTATACTTTTGTATACTTCCTCTTTTCTATACTTTTGTATACACTTCAGAAATGTATACAAAAGATTAGGTATACAAGTAGACATCCTATAGGTAAAGTTTGGTCCCCAACTTTCTGAGAACTCCAAAACACTGCCAAGAGAAATTAAATAAGACCTTAATAAAGAGATATATAAATATTCTTGTATTGGAAGGCACAGTATTTTTAAGATGTCAGTTTTCCCTAAATTGATCTGTAGTCAACAGAATCCCAATCAAAATCTGAGTTGGTCTTTTTTTGTAGAAATTCACAAACTGACTCTAAAATTGGTATGCAAATGCTAAGAACCTAAAACAGTCAAAACAATCCAAAAAAACAAAGTTGGAGGACTTACACTACATAATTTCAAGACTTATTATACAGCTACAGTAATCAAGACAGTGCCACATACAGATCAAAAGAAGAGGACAGAAATTCAGAAATAGAGCCATTAACTCAAAATGGACCTAAGTGTAAAACCAGAAATGAGCCAGAGAAGACTGTAAATTATGAAACTTTTAAAAGAAAACACAGGAGAAAATTTTTTTTTTTTTTTTTGAGTTGGAGTCTCACTCTGTCACCCAGACTGGAG